GCGTTGAGAGCGGGCAGAACTTGGCTGGCTAGTTCGTAAGGTACGTCGGCGATGTATTGGAAAGCGTCTGTGAAGGGGGAGACGATGAAGCTGTCGTCGAAAGTGAATGGGCCTTGGATGAGGTCGAAGCGGACGGAGCCGGTGTTGAGGACGATGATGCGGGAGTTGTTTGCGCGGGTTTGGTTGATGATTGTGGCTGATAGGGCTTCGGTGAGGACGGTGTAGATGCTGGTGTTGCTAAGGAAGGGGGCGCAGCTTATGCACCAGGTTTGGGGTGCGCAACCGTATCTGGAGAAGAGAGGTGGTTAGCGAGTGGTTTGATACTTCAATGTGTGAATGATACTCACAGAGCAGTCAAGTTGAGCTCATGGCGGGTCGTGGTGATGTTGCTCGTTACACTCAGGCCTTTGGGCGTGTCAAAAGCACGAACCTGCGAGCCTGCGGCATGGAATTCGAAGGTGTTTCTGTTCCAGTCGAGGTAGCGGCGGGAGTAGAGCAAACTCGAGGAGGAGGAATTCGTCGCAAGCGATGCATTGGCGGCGCTCGTGGCATTGATCTTCCTGGCAGGCATGATTGGGTTCGGGACCCCCACTGGGTTGGCGCAACCAGTATAGTTCGAACTCTTGATGCCACTCATACTCAGCCATCCTAGCGTCTCGCAGTACCTGCCCGACTCCAATGCGGTGGCGCTCTCGTCGTACACTGCAAAGTTCCGGATATGACTGTGACCTCCAAACATCTGTACCGGCAGATCTGGGTGTACCGCGCGAATGGCGTTGAAAACAGTATCGAGCGTGTTGGACTTGTCCGAGAGGCTCACCGGATTATGACCAATAAGCAAGAACATATCGATCGGCTCGCTCGTGTGCAGAGCATTCTGAAACCAGGTCTGGTTGACCATCTCCGCTGCGGGAATGACTTTCGAGGCGTTGCTGTTGCCTGTGAAGTCATACAGAACACCGAAAGCCATGATGCGAAGGCCTTTTGGGGTGGTGAAATAGCGGTGGGTCCGACCTATATATTCGAAGGCTGCGGAGTTTGGGTTGTAGATCTGCACGTTCGAGGTAACGTATCGTTCGCCGTATTGGCGGCTGAAGTTGTAGAAGTGCTCGTAAGAGATGTCGCTGATGTAGAGCTCGTGATTGCCGATGGTGAGGACATCGTAGTCGATGTTCTGCGGATGTGTCAGAGTTTAGTGCTTCCTAATCATCCAGATGCAGAGGGAGATGTGACGGTCGCGAAGGGCATAGTGCCAAAAAACATGTGTTGTATTGGCTGCCGTCTCTCCACCGCCATGCCACTCTACTCACCTCAAATATCGGATTGCTCAAAACACCATTGGGGCTGGTCGCGTCACTTAGACCTGCACCATCGTGGAGATCCTATCTCGTCTGTTAGCATTATCGTCGATGCCATGCCAAGCCCTCCGCTTCCTTCCATTACTGACCCCTGTGTCCACAACCAAAAGATCCACATCATATGCCGCCGCCTTCTTCCTCATATCGGCCACAAACGAGACCATATCACCCCAATCTGCTCCGTAATTTTGCTCTTTTATGTGACCTTCTAACCAGCCGTGAGTATCAGTCGTGTGCAGCACATTGAGCATTCCCCATGACAGCGGAGCGCGAGGCAACGAGGTGGCATTTTGGGCATCTGGCTGCATTCGTCGCACGTTGCGGGTCAGGACAACATCGTGCTCTGGGTGCTCGCATGATTCGCAGGCGTAGGCGGTGCTGGCTAGACCCACAAGGGCGATTGCTGTTGCCGGAAATCTCATGGTGAGTGTATGGGTCGGTCAGAGAAGGCAGGAACGGGTAGGATTCAGGACTGCAAGGCTGGAGCAGTGGTGCTGCAGTCGGTAATGAGAGGGTATCATCAACCTAGCTTTCATGTCATTTCCCAGTAGATGGTCGCGATCATGATGTCGTGACATTGCCAGCGAGCCGTCGCCGACGCTCTCACCGTCCACCAAACGCTGCCAGAGCCTGCACGTGGGAGAGTTCTTTTCATGCATGCACGGCATGATGCAGGTACGGCAGACAAGCAAAAAGACAAGATCGTCAAGGCGTCTGTTCTGGTCCAGTCGTATTCGCCTTCCCCATCTGTCCGTAGCGCCGCCATTACGCTTGGCATGACCGGGCGGCAACCACGCCCCCGACGACACACCGTGGTTCCCAGCAAGAGCAGCGGAGTAGAGGACTGCAAGGAGGAAGGACTTCTCGATCTGAAAAGGAGTGTACTATGGTGCGTGCTTTTCGCCTCCTAGGCCGCACCACACACACGACATGCGCAAGATGAGATAAAAAGGAAGAGCAGTACCACATCACGAAAGAAATGGATAGCGTCCATACGCTGCATGGAGTGCTTCCGGCCGGATCAGCATGAGCTCGCCGGCTAGGTGTGCATAACCTATGACAGCAGACTCCAGCGATTAAGGAGCCTGGACAACTCCGGAGGTCCAGTGTCATGATATAACCTGGGTGCGCTTCCATGGCTGGTGAGGCATTCGCCCCAGCTACATAGAAAAATTGGAAGTAAGGTAGTCATGCTGGTACAGGAGCGAATGATCCTGCGGCCGTGACGGAGGAGCGCAGGTACCCAGTAAGACAACCCTTGGCACACTGCCCGAGAGCAGCGTGGTTTGCAGCCCCTACAGACGGTGTTCCGAGGAGGTGTGCAAGAAGTGGAGACGGGTCGCCATGGTCTTCGCTGCGTGATCATGCCGCCTAAGTCGACCATAAGCGTTGCCAGACAGCTCGCCTTAGCCAAACAGGTCCTTCAAGGCTGGACAGCCCGTCCTCACCGGAAATGACCGGTCACGATCCAGAAGGGTAACCAGAGACGAGAGACCGTATTTGCCAAACCTGGGCACACTGCCAGAGAGCATTGAGGTCTGCGGCTCATGCAGACAATGTTCCAAGGGAAGTGTGAAAAGTGGAGTTGAATTGCTGTGGTGTTAATCTCATGCGTGGATGCTCATGCTGCTTGGAAGCTTCTATGCATGGTAGAACAGCCCGTCGTGTCAAATCAGGCAGGTCTGTCCTGGTTGAGAAAGCCTATTCTTCGCTGAACGGGGCTCGTCATCGTTGGTCAATTAGCTATGGCCACGGCGGGCATCCAAAGACGAGCGTGGACGACCTGGCCCCTGGCGCACTACCTGAGAGCGGCGAGGTCTGCGGCTCCTGCAGACAGTGTGCTCGGGGCGTGAGAGAGGGTTTGCAGACTCGTGTCACACCCTCACCATGGCGCGTGCACGTTGACACCCGAACAGGTCGTGAGTACTGCTCAGAGATCATTTCCAAGGCATCGATGAACCTGAGACCACCTGGAGACCGATTAGCGACTTGCCTTGAATGCTCCTTCAATGCCAAGGTACTCGGAAACCGAAACCAGCGTATGGTCGGGCAAGGTACCGACGAACTGTGCTATCTTGTGGTTTCTGGTACATTGCCAGATATGCTAGGAGCCCCCATAGACTCTGCATCCGAGTATGCACTGGTCCAAGGCTGCCAGGCTCTCCGTCTTCTCCAGAGCGCAGTCACGTTGTCCAAGGGGCTTGTCCAAGCTGTCCACGATGTTTCGCGATGGTGGCACAGGCTCCTGCCGCTCATGCTCATCTCCAAGCGACCTTCTCGAGTATTCCCATTCGGCCCGCTTATGTACGCGGCTTCATGCCGTCGGCGCAACGTGTTGTCCAGATCGTGACTGGTCATGAATGGAATCGGGGTTTGGCAGTAAAGCTCTTCGAGGATGGTATCAGGCGCTACCACTGAGCCCTCGCACCACGGCCGGGCCCATATCTCATTCCTGCACCAGATAGTGAGACCTTGTTCACGCGGTCGCGCTGCTGTCGTGATGGCCGTAAAGGAAGTTGACGTGAGGTGCAAAATCGATGCAAGGGGTGATGCATTCCAGACAGCCTATATCAACGTCGAGTGCTCGCATGTCAAGGTTTTCTGTCTTCTCTTGCTCTGCCAGTCGCTCGGCGGCGCCACATCTATCGCGTGCGAGTGTGGTATGCATGCTGTGGAGGAGGCGGTTTGTCGCTTCGAAAGGACTTGGTGTGAGCGATGAAGTGATCCTGGCACACCAGCTTGTTCGCTTCACGCGTTCTCAGAGTGCTGTCAGCGTTTCGATGCTGGAGGTGGATCTGCAGCTGGTTCACAACATGCATCGCGGTCGCGGTTTGGTACGAGGCTCGTGAAGGTCAAATTTGCGAGAACGTCAAGGACAACGGACTGGAGCACGACAACCTCGAGGAGCACAAGACAATCGATCAACTCTTCTTCAAACCTCAGCCAGTGGCAGAAAGCATGATGAAAAGAGAGCAGGAGAACCACAAGGGTTGACACTGTCTGTGAGTAGAAACCAAAAATTACGCCGATGCGACCCCGGGCAGCCCACAAATCAACAGCAGTCAGCGGTGTGCAATGCCAACTGTGTCAAAGAGGGTGGATAGTCTGCGTGAGGGACCACCACCTCGACAAGTTGCCGTAGCCGAAGAAAGAAGAAGAGGAGGAGAGAGAGAAGCCTTAAGTATGCTCTCAGGCGGCGAGCACAGACCTCACACCTCCGGCGCTATGCTAGTCTAGGCAGGCGTATGGCTCGTTGTTAGGCCTGTGAGTGGCTGGGTGAGCTGTGGGCGGGCAGCTAAGGTACCGCTCGGTACCGAAGCGATGCTCTTGTCGGGCTGAGAGCATATCACGAGCTACAACGGTGTTCGAGCCTCTTGAGGAAGTCTTCAAGACGAAGATCCTAGGGTGTTGAACGCCATTCGTGCACCGTCCCTGTCACAAGGGAGCATTATGGCTACGGATGTGCGTTTGGACTCTTGGACGAGCAGCGAGCAATTGCCTATCCTTTCGTCGTCAACCAGGTTGTGATGATGAAGACCACGCTGCCAAACGTTGATGCCACTGTTGGCGTAATCGTGCACACCGACAAAACATTGAGCTGGAGTTCATTGCTGTTTGAAGACTGAAAAGGCAAAAAGAATTCGCCAATGGCTGGATTCGAACCAGCAACCTCGTCTTAAATCGTTGCATTGAGCTTTGAGAGACGCGCGCTACCATTGCAACCACACTGGCTGTGAAAAAGAGTTAGCCTTGGGCTCATATTCCAGTCCGGTTCCAGTCCGATCCGGAGAATTGCAGTTTGCCACTGCCATGCCACCGCTACCACTGCTTGTGCAATGAAGAGATGTCTTACCATATGAATTTGATATTCTTTCGTGCTGTCTGATTGGAGATGGAGGGGTGGAAACTATCTTATGTTCAATCCTAATTCTGGCCGAGCATGTGCCGGAGTAGGGCAGTGAGCACCGCTGCTGCCTCCGTATGCACTCTCCAATAAGTGTTTCGTCGTCACTTTGGTCATTTCGACAGGCGAGACACAGCAGCCATAGCCCGAGTTGTTACATCTATGCTACTCCAGCCATTGGTTTGTTCAAAAGGGCTGGCGAGCCTGTAGCCAGCCACGACACGCGAGCAATGTGTAGCGTGAACGGTGCTCTCAAGGGCTACGATCTCACCAGTATCACCATGGCTCTCAATGGAGGCCTCTACTTCTTCAGCTTCTAGCCGAGAACCAACGCACTGATGGGGAATACATGGGCACTGCAGCCAGCATAGCGTTTGACGTCTCCTTGCACGTACTTGAAACGTTCATGTCACAGCCACGCATATTTGATCTCAGGAATGTACGGTGTCACGCGTCCTACGAGGACAGCAGCTTCTGGCGATACAGTCACTTCTACAGACTACTATCCGAGAGCATCTTGGAGCGACGTAGATGAGGCGAGTACGAGCATATAATGCTTCGACTTGCTTCACAAAAGACATTCATCCTACCACCAAGATGAACGATATTGGTTGTCTCTGGCTGATGTCTACAATCCTGAGTTCTGGTGTCTATCTTCAAGAGCCTATCCATCCAGTCGTTCAGACTCGCTCGTATCCACCATCCCAAGCTTGTTCCATTTTCAATCTCTTCTACTGAGCGTGATTCGCTTCGTTGGAGACGGGATCCGATAAGAGGCGGGAAGAGGTGCAGAGTTTCGATTGAGAGCGGCATCACTCTGAGCTTTGCTATGCTCACGTGTCGCCTGTGGTGCAGGCCTAACCTTGGGGACGTAGTGCTCGCTGGTCGGAATGAACAGCATAAGCCAGCACCATAGAGAGTCTCCACAGCCTGCGGCGGACGGCCGGTGAACTTTCATGCTATCTCGCAGCTCAGGTTGTGCTGTCGAATAACGCGTGACCGCTCATGATATTCGTGGGTCAGTAGGATTCTGTGCCATACCTGGTCCTCTCGCTCAGCTACTGGTCTTCCTGAGCTCCAAATTTTGAAGGGACAGACTCAAGGCGCATGTGACTCCTTTCGCCAGTGTCGTGAAGACCGTTTCCGGGGCTGCCGTTGTTGGTTGTGATACGCTTTGATGCTTGTTGGAGGCCACTTTCCCGTGAACGGTGCCGTACTCAAGGGCAACAGCCAATGCTGTTCGCATTCCCTGATTATTGCAAATCACCTTTGACCATATTTGTCGAGCCAAACAACGCTTTGGTAAACCGCATTCTGCTCGACTGCATGGAGCTGTGAAACCATCCAGATCCTGCAGGCGGTCCTCGATCGTGGCCGCTTTGGGCTCTGCTTGTCTTTTCGGTTGCCAGGAGAATGTGTTCGTGCTCTTAACTCAATTGTGAGTAAAAAGCCAAAGGATCGACCGGCGAAATATCTTAGCACATACCAAGGTTCCACTCGCCGGATGCTATCGACAAGCAAAGACACGCTCGACTGCTTGTGACTGTGCCTTGTTGCGCTGTTACCGTCAAAGACATCAAACGTGTATCGTGCATGGAAGCTCATCGCGGCAAGCAACGGCTCTTTCAACTTTGCTTGGCATGAAAGGCGTTGCTGTGGTCGTACACAAACAGCCAGACTTCCGTCACTCACGCAACCTGCATCTTTACTTCACAATCACTTCGCTGCTCAATCAACTCCTTCATCACATCAGCACGTGCATCATCACCAGCATTCACAACTCCCCCATCACTATATCAGCATCATGACGAGCAAAGGTCCCTTCGAGTTCCAGTGGGGCAACATGAGAGGACCCGGTATCAACAAGGAGTTCCCCAAGTTCAAGGGCGCTGATGTGAAGATCATCATCAGCGGTTCGCGTCAATATGAGTTACACCGCTCGGTGCTGAAGAATGCAAGCTCGCGCATGGAGGAGGTAAGCAACAATTTGAGTGCAAGCCTATTCGAGACATGCGCTTATCATGGACTTATTGTCCTAGCTGCTCCCGGACGACGACGCTGCGAGGCTCAATCACAAGGCGATCAAGAAGGGCATCACTGTCAAAAACCGCCTCGATCTCGCCAAGAACCCTCTCACCGACGAGGACGGGATTCAGGTCGCCTACATCCTCACTCCGGTGCTGCTCGATGAGGACGGCAAAGCTTCCGCTACCAATGCCGTGGCGCTCGATCTGGAGAACGGCAGGGCGGTCGACCCGACATTCCTCGTACGTTGGGAATACCACGTAATATCCTTGACAAGACACTGATCAAAGCCAGGCCTACAACGCGGTCTTCGGTGCCTTCTATCAAGTGCCCATCGACCTCGGGGACTTCAGCAAAGATCCGCTGACCGATATCCTCACCAATGCAATGGAGATCGTCAAGGTTGCGGAGTATCTGGACTGCGTACGTGCTCACTCAACAATAATGGAAATGACACCCACCTGACCGTTCACAGATCGAGACTATCACGAACGCGATCGAGGCCACCCTACTCGCCACCGGCCAGGTCCTCTTCACTTCAATCTCCAACCTCCCACTCGAGTGGCTCACCTTCGCCTTCCGCATCCGCTCGCGCGTCCTCTTCCGCGAGGCCATGATTCACGCCGTGGGTCAGTTCAACACGGATGCTGTGCAGAAGGGACTCTACTCGCTCAACCCTGCCGTCGGCAAGATGCTGGATGATAAGGCTGCCGGGCTGGAGAACGCCGTGAAGAAGTCGTTTCAGATGCTGCTCAGCTACTACCCCACCCACCTCCAGCGCGAGCGCACTGTCGGTCGTGCTGACAGGGACAACATCGGGCGCTCAAGCTACGGAAACGACATCATGGACTGGCTGGCGCTTGTTGTGGTGCGCCACTTCTTCGCTCACCAGGTCGCCGACGACCAGACCCACCATGCCACGGACATGGGCAAGTCGGTCATCGATGTCATCATGGCAGGCGGTGATGCGTACCTCACTCGCCAGCAGCTCGCTGCCTGGCACAACTTCTTTCCGATGAGTCCCCGGGCCGACAACGTGCTGGAGACCAAGATCGACGAGCTGAAGCACGCCGTCAAGCAGTACTTCACGGCCTTCACCAAGAACGAGTCGCAGCTCAACATTGTGGCTACACCAGTCAATCATCTCACCTGCACCAGGGTCGAGATCACGGAGTATCCGTGGGAGAGTTTCGCGGCGGCTGAGGAGGGAAGCGACGGCGGCAGTGGTGGCGATGGCAGCGATACCGAGCTCGATGAGGACATGTACAACTAGGGTAGTGCGGCCATCTCACGACAGCCGAAGGATAATTTGGCAGCAGCTCTGAGAGTACACGAGCTTGAGGACGATTTGGCGTCTCAGGGATGCTTGCTTTCTTGGCTTGAAAGACACTGGATAGACAGTGCTGTACCTTGGAGTTGAACAGACGATGCCACCATCTCAGCTGTCACACATAGATTCCGTGCTAATGCACTCTTGGAAAGCTGGTTCCGCCGAGCTTCCTAACAGGACATCCCTGTGGCGTCTTCGTAGTGTCCCTACTATCTTGCATGATTCACGCGCATGGCTCTGAGAGTGCAGGAGCTCGAGAACATCGCGGCGTCACGGGGATCCTTGCGATGAATTGGTGTGTACCCTAGCGTACAGAAGAAATGTCATAATGGTTGGCATCTCAGCAACGTCGTTCCAGTATTGTGCAAATGTACTCGTCGAAAGCTGCCTTTGTGGAAGCTCACAAGGCGGAAAGACAAATATGACACCAGCTCTGGAAATGACAGTATTTTGATATTGATCCCAAAGCTACGAACGACTCAGCTTGTGTGAAGCCGGCATTGTCATGTCCTCGACAGCACTGCATCGACCTCGCGCTGTGGCAATCCGCAAGGCTACTTTGTGCAAGTACTGCACTCGCGAGACTCCGCCAAGCTACGTCGGGTGTTCTATCAACGAGTGTCTTCTTCAAGTGCTCTTGGCAAAGCAAACAGACACAAGCCCCCTCCTAGGGCGTATGCAGGCTCATCCCACCCGGGGAGTTCTTCGGCCTCGTACCTCTCGATCCATTGATAGCGCAAAGCATTATAGTCTTGCATGCCTTGGATACTGGCCGCCATTCTAGATCCCTGCTCGGACCAGTCTCTGCAGCCATGTTAGTAAGGATAGCAGCGCGTCTGATATAACCGTGGAAATCGACTTACTGCACGATCATTTCCTCCTGGTATTTTGACCACTCAAGCGTAGGAGGTCCGGAGGCGATCATTAATGCTGGTGTGAACTCGATCACCTTGCGCATGAAAGTGTCGTTCTGCTCGATACCAAGCTCGCATATGAAACTAGACCCTGTGATGCTCTCCAGAGCATCCAATCCCTCGAGATGTTCATGCTCGTATCCGGACCTCTCACCACGGGACACCGAAGGTGAGATGCCAAGAGACTCCAGAAATGCACGATCCACATCATGGTAGCTGGGATCTTGAATCAAGCTCCTGATAGAGCCGTGGTTGCCAAGCTGTAGATGGGCCACAACGTCCATGAAAGCGGCAAACTGTAGCATCGCTTTACCTGAGCCGTCATAGCCACTGAGCCACACCTCGCTGAAGCTTCCAGTGCCGAGACAAATTGCCTCGGTAAGTTGCCATCTATCAGCAGGCCGTCGAGCGTCTAGGATGTCGATGAGCCCAGCACGCTCGGTACTGCCTGCCCAGATGCGTTGCTTCTCGGTGTAGAGGAGCGTCAAATCTTCGACGGTCAATGTTGGATCAGGGTGCTTTCTGTGAGCCATATGTTCACAGTGGGGCATGTCGACCT